ATTTCCAGCAACTTACGGTGTCGTCTCTTCCTCCTGCATCGAGCACTCGAACTCAGCCTGTCGCCTCTTCTCGTGATCCCGTACATCGATTGCGTGGGGTTTCTCTGTATTCCTTCTTTCTCTCGCATGAGTCTCTGGACATCGACACCTATTTCCTCCTTCGACGAAATTCCACCTCACACGAGCTCTCGACGTCAGCACCTCCGTAGCACCATCACCCTTGCTGTTGCCGAAACTACCGTAGGCCACACCACATCTTTCTTTGAACTAGCTTGTGGCTTGTGCTTGTCTCTCGCACTCGCCAATCTCATGGTAAGTAACTCTTGCTTCTGCCACGTCATTTTTATAGGGCAAATTGGCCTCTTTAGCTTCTGATCCCTCGTTTCACCCCCCCTTTGGCTTTCTGACTCATCGTTTCATCTTCTTCGATCCTTCGTTTCTTCTTTCGGGTAACTGAAATCGGACGTTACAATCGTCCTCACTTGTAAAAATTTCATTCTCGAAATTTAAAAACGGATCTCAAGTATTTTTTTATTAAGCAGGTCAACAAAAATTTTCTATCAGACTTCCTTTTTATAATTAAGACATAATTTAAAAACAGATCTCAAGTATTTTTTTACCACTATGCCTTAATGGATATAATTATTAATTTGAGTTTACTTAAATTTTTTATTTTCATTATTTTTAAAATTTTATTGTAATTATCCTATTGACTCTTTCATCAATATTCTATTAATTTGTCTTAAACTCATCTCTTATACCACTTTTGTCACGGCACGACCTGGAGCTGGGAAATAATCAAGATGGGAACTGAAGATCAGACAGTGGAAGTTAAATTTTTTTCATACTTATTTTCTATAACTAACTAACTACACATAAAGACCACTAAGCAGATTAAATTAAGGTAGTATAAATAAAATTTAACTCTTTATTGGCTATCCACGTTTTCTATAAATGTTTTCTTTGTTATCACTCATCTTATAATCAATTAAATTAACTTGAAATGTTAGTTTAAATATAACAGTGAGCTACACAAGTTAGTTAATACTCATAATTCTAAACTACAGGAATACAAGGAATAAAAAAGTAATATGCATATCAGTTAACTCTTTAATTAATCATTATAAATAATTGATCTTATTCAAAAACTCTCACTATATCAATTTTATATTGATACTATTTTATATCTGTACAACTGTCATAGGAGCACCGTCTGAAAATTTATATAAATTAAGGTACTTCAATATCAATATCTATTTTCATATACGTGCACAGGTATCTTTGTGTTCTCCCACTAATACTATAAGAGGTGACTTCATAGTCAGTCAGACACACACAAACATTCTATCAAAATCACTATTTACTAAGAGTATATTTCATTCTTATTTGTGTATCAGACAATATAGTTATAAATCATTTAAAGGATAATTTAAATAGTGATGTGCACATATAACATTCTTACAAAATGAACAAAAATTCACTAGAATTCAAAATTCTCGAGTTTGCGGTAATTTCGATAGTACTAATGAATGTATTTGGTCTAGAAGAAGCAAAATATCACCATAGTATAAAAACATGAGTACTCACTTCGATGTCGTTTAATTTATCTTTACGCCGACTCTTCTAAAACCAGAAGCCTAATATATTATAAAATTTAATTAATTTAATATTTTAATCAATTATTAACTTTTTATTATTTAATTATTAAATTTTATTATTTTTTTAATGTAGTGATGCATCTTAACCTATGTTCAATTACCCTCTCCCATAATTTTAAAGTATGACACATCAACTTAATTCCTCTATAGTTTGCACACTCTTGTGCATCCCCTTTATTCTTAAAAATGGGGATCAAAATACTCTTCCTCCACTCCTCAGGCATCTTTTTAGTTTTTAAAATAATATTAAATAGTTTAGCAAGTTAAGAAACTCTCAAATCTCTTAAATATTTCCACACTTCAATTGGGTTATCATCAGGTCCTACAGACTTTCCACCCTTGGTTTTCTTTAAAGCCTCCTCAACTTCTTTTTTGCTAATGCGACGGTAAAAATGAAACGTTTTATTATTATTTACGATATTAAAATCACTAAGTTCGATCGTATTTTCAGAAACTTCATTAAAAAGTTTATCAAAGTAACTCACCCACCTATGTTGAATATCTTTTTCTAAGAAAAGTACTTTTTGATTTTCATCTTTAATACACTTTACTTGAGTTAAATCTTTACTTTTCTTTTCTCTTTGTTTGGCTAGTTTATACATATATTTTTCACCCTCCTTAGTATCTAATCTATTATAAAGATCATTAAAAGCAGAATTTAAAAGCAGTGTTACTATGCCTTAATGGATATAATTATTAATTTGAGTTTACTTAAATTTTTTATTTTCATTATTTTTAAAATTTTATTGTAATTATCCTATTGACTCTTTCATCAATATTCTATTAATTTGTCTTAAACTCATCTCTTATACCACTTTTGTCACGGCACGACCTGGAGCTGGGAAATAATCAAGATGGGAACTGAAGATCAGACAGTGGAAGTTAAATTTTTTTCATACTTATTTTCTATAACTAACTAACTACACATAAAGACCACTAAGCAGATTAAATTAAGGTAGTATAAATAAAATTTAACTCTTTATTGGCTATCCACGTTTTCTATAAATGTTTTCTTTGTTATCACTCATCTTATAATCAATTAAATTAACTTGAAATGTTAGTTTAAATATAACAGTGAGCTACACAAGTTAGTTAATACTCATAATTCTAAACTACAGGAATACAAGGAATAAAAAAGTAATATGCATATCAGTTAACTCTTTAATTAATCATTATAAATAATTGATCTTATTCAAAAACTCTCACTATATCAATTTTATATTGATACTATTTTATATCTGTACAACTGTCATAGGAGCACCGTCTGAAAATTTATATAAATTAAGGTACTTCAATATCAATATCTATTTTCATATACGTGCACAGGTATCTTTGTGTTCTCCCACTAATACTATAAGAGGTGACTTCATAGTCAGTCAGACACACACAAACATTCTATCAAAATCACTATTTACTAAGAGTATATTTCATTCTTATTTGTGTATCAGACAATATAGTTATAAATCATTTAAAGGATAATTTAAATAGTGATGTGCACATATAACATTCTTACAAAATGAACAAAAATTCACTAGAATTCAAAATTCTCGAGTTTGCGGTAATTTCGATAGTACTAATGAATGTATTTGGTCTAGAAGAAGCAAAATATCACCATAGTATAAAAACATGAGTACTCACTTCGATGTCGTTTAATTTATCTTTACGCCGACTCTTCTAAAACCAGAAGCCTAATATATTATAAAATTTAATTAATTTAATATTTTAATCAATTATTAACTTTTTATTATTTAATTATTAAATTTTATTATTTTTTTAATGTAATCCAAATTATATATATAATTATTATGAAAAATATATGTATAACATTCATATTAAATATTTTCATTAAAATTACGAAAACTCACTTTTATAATCTTCAAGACGAACCCTTTCGCTCGAGCCTCAACCACATGAGAAGAAGCTTGTCACGTGGAATCCACACAAAACCATCCTCGCTAGTGAGTACCTTCTTTGACTTCGTTCTTTTCATCCACTACAACTTCAATTTCGTCTCACCCAGCAGCTTACGATGTCACCTCTTTCTCCTACACCGAATGCTCGAACTCAACCGGTCACCTCTTCCTTCAATCCCATGCACCAATTGCCTAGGGTTTCATTGGCTTCTTTCTTCCTCTTGCACAATTCTCTGGACATCGACACCTCCGTCCTCCTTCGACGACGTTCCCCCCCTCACGAGCTCTCGACGTCAACACATCCTTCCTCAACGACATCACCCTTGCTGCTGTCGAAACTAGCGTAAGCTACACCACATCTATCTTCGACCTAGCTTATGCTCGTTTCTCGCACTTGTCAATCTCTTGGTAAGTAACTCTCGCCTTTGTCACATCGTTTTTATAAGGCGAACTCACCTCCTTTGTTTCCGATCCCCTAATTTCACTTCTCCCTCTCTTTAGCTTCCCGAGTTATCATTTTCTCTCATTTGATTCTTCAATTTTTCTCTCGGGTAACTAAAACCGGGCGTTAACTAGTTTATAGTTTCAATCACTTTTTTTTTCTAAATTCTCTTTAACATCATTTCCAAGCATCCAAACACACCTCTAGTTATTAAAATTTCATTGATAACCAACAACTCATAATTGTGTTGTTTTATCATTACTAAATCGTTGCGTCTGGTGAATGACCTCACTACTAAGGTTGATTAGCCTGCCGAAGGCAACAGATACAAATGGCAACCAATCGAGTGATATCATCCAAAATATTCAATTCTGACTTAGTGGACTAATCATCAATCTATAGCCTGATAGTGGTATAGTGATTCGAAGACTCAAACAAATTTGTTTTATGTAGGGGTGTCAAACCGCGTTCGGATTGACTTGAAATTAACCAGACCTAAAACTACTTAGACTTAAATCCAACCCAAATATTAAATGACTTATAGAATAGTCAACTTAAATGCCGCACATATAACCCATTTAACATAAGGCATAATAGCTATTCGGGTCAAATTCAAGTCGATTTTGAAACAATCTCGGGTTAGCAGGTCAATTATGGGTCAATTTTTGGGTAGAGGGTCAACCCAAACTGGACCCAAAAAACTAAATGGCTTAGGATTCTCAAAACCTGAACCCATAATTATTCGGGACAAATCAAATCCAAATTTTTCGATTCGAGTTAATTCGTTGGGTCAATTTTTGACGCTCCTAATTTTATGGAAACCAATATTGAAAAATGTATACTTAAGCGATCCGACCCGACCGGTACTCGTCCAAATTTGAAGAACATATGGATCCATTATTGATGCAAAACTCTTGTTGTTGAACATGTAAAACTAGCTCTCTATTTTCTTTCATACCTATTGTTGAATGGGTCACAATTTTCCAGGATCTTCCTTTGTTAATGGCCAGAAATCGCTGTCATGACCAGGCTAAGGAAAAGTGATTGGGTGAATTTTTCAATCTGAGTTTCGCCCTCTGCTTGGTTGCAGGGTGGAACTGGTAATCGATTTTAAAAGAACCTGCTGAAATTATTCATTCTATTTCTGCTACGAGTAGAAGAATTCCATTTCGTATTTTTTTTAGTTATGTTTTTTAATATCGAAAGATGATATTTCTTGTACCATTTCTGTGTCTTTACTTTTCTCTTCGCTGTAATGTCTATTCAGATGAGTTGTTGATGGATGAAATATGGTGGTTGAAAATTAACCTTTTGGTAGCAGAATCAGTATAAAGTTGGTTCCATTACATTCCGTTTACCTTGTTTTGATGCGATGCGAATACACTAATTATAGATTTTGAACCAATATTTCTTTTGTATCTTAGTACTATTATTTTGTCCCTAGATCGTTTGATTTTTGGCGCTTTGTTCTTCGCCTTGAATGCTGTTGACTTCTACCGTGTTTGAGACTCTCTCTTCTATAAAAGTTGAAAATTTACATAAATATCACACAATTAGTTTTATGACTTTTGTGTTATAAACCTATACATGAAAATGTGTATATATCACTTTTAAAAAGGTTAACAATGGTGCTATTTTTAATATGATGTTAAAGATTTGATTGTATGCACCTAAATATATAAGTTTAGGTATTAGATTTGTAAATGCATGACTGTGTGCTTCGTATATGTAAATGCACCTAAAAAAATATATTAAACATATATCTACCAAAAAAATTAGTACCAAATTTGTTTGAGGTTTTTGAGACCATTTGATTTAGTACTAATTTTGATGATAAAAAAACATTGAAGTTTAAATGATAAAGGATTCATTTGTGTTTGTAAGCTTTGGTGTGTTTGGGATTAATTTTTGTTTTTTGTTTCTAATTTTGAAAATAAAAATAAGAAATAAATATTTTATGTTTTTAAAATGCTAAAAATAGAAAAAAAATATATGTTTTTATCTGTTTTTAAAACACTAGAATAACCCTTCGCCTAGCCTGCCTCTGTCCCCCCTCACCAGTAATCATCAACCTTTAATTGCCACCACCGCCTACCGCCACCCGTCGCTTGCCCGTTGACGTCGGCTTGTCGCCACCGGCGATCGTTGCCTGCCAGTTGCTTGCCACCTGCTAGTTGTTCGCCACGTTCGCCGCCCACTGAAAACGCCCACTTGCCATCATCGTCACCGCCGCCCACCGCCTTTTGCTGTTCACATTTGCCGCCGCTATCGGACGCCGTGCCAACCGCGGCGTCCGCCCGCCTGCCGCCGCTATCGGACGCCGTGCCAACAGGGGCTGCCGCCTGCCAGTCTGTATCTACCCACCGACGCATGCAGCCTGCCACCCACCCACTCGCCACCTTTGCCCGTCGCAATCGTTATCCTGTACATGTCCACTGCCGCCAACCCATACTAGTCACCGTCGTCGGTCATTTGCCGCCTGCCCTATCAGCCACTGCTCGCTGCTTGCCCGCCCACAGATAATACTTCGTGTTGGGTGGAGCAAGGAAGATATATACGCCATAGGCGGAAGAACTTAATACTAGAGTGCACGTGCACTCGACTATTTTAGGTAAAATAAAAGTTTTTCTTGAAAAAAATAAAAAATACCTAATTAAATATCTTTTATTTTTTTATTTTTAAAAATATATGAATCATAACAGTTCAAAACATGTTTTATATGACACACTATCAATCGGGCGATGCGTCATTTTGATCGCGAAACAATCAACTATATACTTGAGGTAGTTTATTTAATGAAAATGTGGATTAGAGAAGGTATCCTCAACTATCAAGGATGCTCTCGCATAAAAAACTAGCTACAGATTCAATGTTCTCATTAAGAGTAGTATTAAAGAAGTAATTTGGTAGCTATAACCTCAAATTATCCTGACTAATTATTTTATGATAAATGAAGTATTCTAACAATATAAAATGCTCCCTCTGACAGGTATCTGCTTAACTGATCAAATAAATCCCATCTAAAGTTGAGTATCATTAACCAGGTATGCAAAACAATCATGGTGTCCCAGTTGGATAAAAACTAAGTAGATAATCAAGGTGTTACAGATAACCAAGGAAGCTATTTTTTTACAAGTATCAACTTAGCTGATCGAGGGATTTAGGTTGAAAGGTAATTACAATCGGCCGGGTAAGCAAAGTGGCCTAGTTGATAAAAACCATCTAGATATTTGAGGTGATCTAAATAACTGAGATGAAGATATTAATCATATGTAATCCCAACCATCATTTATGCGCTTATATGAATAACTGACAGTGGAGTGGATATGGTTCTCGTAAAGTACAAAATAAAAAATTTAATCAAGTATCTATAAGCCAGAGATGCCCTGCCTCAAGTGTATGCTAGATAAGTGAGGTCGCCTAGCTACATGAGATGCTTAAGTAAGCAATAATCTACGTAATTCTTATTGAATATAGAAACATAATATCACTGGATAACGAGGTGTTCTGACTAGACATAGATCTATTAGATAGCTAAGGAGATCTAATCATGGCAACATGTCTTTTGATGAGGAAATTTAAATTGATCGAGTCAATCAAACTATCAAAGTGGTTAGATAAGTGAGGTGTTCAAACCATAAAAGGATGTTTTTGTATCATTAGTAAGGCAAGTTTTGATGTAGAAAGCATCAAGACTTAATAGGATCTCAAGGTGTTTTGATTAGACGGGGATCAACTAGTAAACGAGGTGGTCTAACCTATACAATATTTTTTTTTGACACAATAGTTAAAATTTCTAGTCAATTCAAAGCATCAAGGAGGTTGGATAGCGAGGTGATCCAACTTATATAAGACATTTTCATCAAGAGCTAGCAAGATGACTCCAAGACTAGCAAGAAAAATCCTTCTAGGAAAAATATTGTGGGTATCAAGATATCCTACCTAGAAATGGATTGGCTGGATAAGCAAAGCGCTAGAGCTGATACGATATATTTTTCTGATAGGGCAATCAAAATTTACTAAATTAATCAAAATATCAAGGGGGTTAAATAAATGAGATAGTCCAACCTACAATGATGTTGTTTCACCAAAAATTGACTAAGAAGTTTATATGATTCTTATTGAGTAAGGTAGCATACTTTAATCAAGTATAGAAATGAGATGCTCTAGTCAAAAACTAACAAAGTAGTCAAGTTAGTTCTATGGATTAAAACACCCTTTAATACTCAAAGACATAGGTATACTAACTAGACATGGATCAGCCTTAGAAGCAAGGTGCTTATGCATATAGAACCTGCTTTTAACAATATCTTTCTAGGTAAGTTTTATTTATCAAGTTCCATACACTAGTCCAAACACTAAGAGACTTTGCTAAATAAGGATTAGCTAGATTAAACAAATTGGTCTTGCCAAAGATTCTTTACGAGATGATCGAGATTCACATAGTCAATCTGAATATATAGAGGTTAGATAAACAAGTTGGTTCAACATATTGATTATTTGAATATTTTTTATGGATATCTACCACGTTTATTGATAATGAATGTGATATTGCTGTTTCAAACCCCGTATAAAATGTGTAACCAAAATCTCCATGAAAAAAAGCGCATCTTTTCTCACATTAATTGTTGGTTATACTAGGTACTAAACACCTGAAGGAAGATTACACTTTGCCTGAATGAAAACCAAATATTCTTGTTAAGAGAAGGGCAAGGCCTCTCTCTCACAGACATTTAATTATTTTTAAACTTCTTAAATTAATTTCTTAGCTAGTATAAGCAATCATTACCATAGAGCTTCTCATATGAAGGACATATCAAATGATAATTCATATATATTTATTGTTGAATGTTGAATTAAAAAATACATCACATTGATCCACCTAAAAATAACATGTTTTTAATTTACATTTTATGCTCATCTTAAGCTTATTTTTGATGATATTGCACTTTAAAGGAATGTATTTTGCATGTTTTTGGTTTCAAGTACATGGAAAGAACAATTGGAGTAAATGAAGATAAAATTGAGCAAAAATGGAAGATTTTGTATGGCGCATAGCGCTAGGTATCGAGCGGGCTGGCCAAATTTTGAGGGGTGCTTGAAGCGACCCTTGGTGATTTTTAGTAATTTATTATTAGGGCCAAATTTTGGACGAAAAGGGAGTCTTTTTGGAGGTGTGTTGGAGAAGACTTTTTGAAGGTTTTAGTCTGTGTGCGTGTGTGTGAGTGAGTGAGAATCTTTAGTTTGTGTAATAGTTTGGAGTTTGCTTCAAGAAAATTTTAGGATTTGCTTGGGGAGAAGACATAACATAAGTATTTTGTATTTGTGTTTAAATTTTTGTTGTAAGACTTTGCTTTCAATACAGATTATGTGTTTTTGTTTTATCTTCATGAATCCTGAGTTGTTTCCTTTCTTTCTCCTTGCATTTGGGAATTAATTTTGTCGGATGAGAATAATTTAAGGATTTCTTTTTTTTAAAAACATTGTAATGATATTTTCAACGTTCTTCATTGACATTTTCAAACTGGTCATTTGTATTCTTAAAATTCGTTGAGAAATATAATGACCCAGGAGGGCTATGATTTCACTAACTATTGAGTACCACATCTCAACTTGGGCAGAGCCTTTGCAATTACTTGAATGGAGTGCAAATAGATAGAGAGATAAGTTTTGATGGATGTACAATTGATGTTTCTAGGGTGATGAGCTAGATACTTTTATCAATTGGTCTTAGAGTTTGGATCATAAGGGTCCCAAACAGGTCCTATAGAGAATGCACAATAGTTAATATGGAAGTGAGAGACCAGAATCTACTCAGCACTACTACACAAGCTGATGACAAGCTCTAGGTTGACCAATGTTTTTTGCTAGCACCAAGAGGGGGTAAAGGATATGAATGCTCCTATTTGTCACAATACCACATTTGATTTTAAACATTATACTCCTACACTAATTATGATCTCATCGCTAGGGGAAAGGGATTTTAATTATTTAAGATTTTTCTAAAATTTTACCAGTCTTATTATATTAATTTTATTTAATTTAGTTAATTATAATTTTAGCATAAATTAATGAATTTAGGAAAACCAAACTTTTAGAAAATTTCAAATTAAGACCTGATAGTAGTAGACTAGAATTAGCCTAAGGGATTTCTTACCTCGCTTTTCTGTGGGATCGATGATGGGGTCTTAAAAAAAACCCTGTATTACTTGAAACGATATGTATACTTATGTAGTACCCCTAGTGTGTAAACTATTTTCTAAATTTTATAATATTTTGATTTTG